TTGGCGCCCCCCTTCCCCCCGTCTGGCACCTGAGGTGGCCGCCTCAGTTTGCCGCATGGTAAGGTCATCCCTGGTTGGACTCCCTGGTCAGACTGCATCTTCCTTGTTGTACTGTGGTTGTGTGAGTGCCATCATGCCTGGCCTTCTTTCACCAAGAGGGGAGAATGTGGTTCATCCTGGGAGTTGTAGTCCAACCAGGGGACCCCACTAACAGAGGAGAATGGGAACATGACAGAGCTGAACTACAAATGTGGTGCCATTTCAGAATACAGGTATTGCAGGTTTTTGGCCAAAATATTTCCGCTTTTGATTTTTGGCCAAAAACTCAAAATTTTGCATGGGAAAACAACATTTCCCAGACTGCTCTACTTATTTCCCTTTACCCTCCTGCAGGGGCGTGTAAGCCTTCTCATGACTGAGCCCAAAGGTAAGAGTCCAAAGAGGGACCACTCATATAGCTGTCTTGAGCAGCTGTCTTGTTCAGCCGGGTAGATACAAAAGAACGTGGTGATATTTTTTTTCTAAAGCAATGTAACCACAAACTCACTGTGGTTTGCTCTGTACCCAAAGATAGCTAATTATTTTAAAAAAACTGATGATAATTACTTTAAATTTTCCTTTAGCAAATCCTCGGTAGAGCTTGATAATGGGGTGGGGGGGACGTGGCCAGGGAGAATATCTGTCCTGCACATTTGTGAGTCAGCACCAATGAATAAGGTAGCATGTTTGTTTGTTTTCTGCATGTTGAGAAATACCAATTTATGCCAGGCCAAATGAATGTTGGTTTTCCCACAGCACAGGAAAGGACTCCGAAGGGAATGAATGGCTGTTTGCAGTGCATCTATTTCTGCTATAGAAAGATGAGAGCAGAAGAACAAGAGCCAGTATTCCCCTCCCATAGTACACCAAGGGGAATGGGGATATGACTTCACTTCCTGTTCAGACACGGGAGTTTCCTGGCTGCATGGTCCAATAGGGCTGAGAAATAAGAAACGGAGTGGCAGGGGGTCTGGATTCTACTCCTGTTTCTGCTGTGTGATGCTGGGCAAGTCTTTTCACCTCTCCTTCCCCTCGTACCTGGTCTCACTCTTGCCAGGGCCGGCTCCAGGCATCAGCCCTCCAAGCATGTGCTTGGGGCGGCACCTGGAGGGGGGCGGCGCTCACCCGGGGAGAGTGGGGCCGCGGCCGGGCTCGCCGCCCTCCCGCCAGTGCTCCGGCCGGCCGGGAA